GTCGAATCGCTTGTACCGCATTAGCTCGTCGAGTTGCTTACGAAACGCTCAATGCATACGGAAGTGAAGTAGCTTATCAAATACGGTAAGCAATGAGATAATACGGAATAGGTTGCCTTTTCAACCTTTCGGAGGCCTATGCTCTTTCTAAGCTGTTTTTGAGGGATTCCCGCCGTACATCTTTCCTTTTTCAGGTTTGAGACCACAAAATCTAAGCGTACAAAAATGCTCTTTTTGACCGAAGGCTTACTGCTCCGTCAGATGGAGAACGATTCTCTCCTTCAGCAGTATAATGTAAGGGAATCACGTCTTTGTTGTTTCTAAATTTTTCTGGTCCAGATTGAGAAACGATTTAAAAGTTTTCAAGATGTTTCCAGGTAGTAATACTTGATGAGGTTCATGAGCGTCATTTGAGTAGTGATTTGCTGATTGGGCTCCTCCGTGATTTGATTGGAAAGCGAGATGATCTAAAGCTCATCCTCATGTCTGCAACTATCAATTTGGAGCTGTTCAAAAATTACTTCGAAGGAGCTCCTGTTATTCAGGTGAACTTTTAGGATTATCCAGACTATAAAAAAGCCCCACTTTGCTGGATTCACAGAAGTCTCATGCTACTTTCAAGTGATTGTCATTATCAATCTACTGGTAATGTAGTTGTCATTTCCTTTCCTTTTATTTGTAATGTTTATGTGCGCACTTCCACGCCTCGTCCTCTATTCCGCCCTCCCTTCGAGCGGCCTCATGGCGCGTTGACGGTTCTACTCAAAAACTTGTCATTATTTTTTCCCTGTCAAAGTTTCATAATTCATATCCTGTTTAGGTTCCAGGGCGTCTTTTTCCTATTCAACTTCGATATCACCCAATCAAACAGTATATACCCGATAATGAAAAGAAAAGTCATAAGATCGACCCGGAGCCATATGTTAGAATTCTCGAGGTCTGTTCATTCTATTTTAAATGTTTAGGCGTACAATCTGAAAACATGTTTTAAGCTCATTGACAAACAGTTCCCCTGTACGGAACGCGGAGATGCTCTCGTGTTTTTGAATGGAGTAGCTGAAATAACTACTGTAGCTGAAGCTCTAAAGACGTACGCAGAACTCACAAAGGGTTGGGTTATCCTTATGCTGCACAGGTCAGTGAGTTCCCTCCGTTTTATATTACTCTCTTCTGTTTCCTGTGGCCGAGCCTTTTTTTTTTGTTGTTGTGATTCTGGTGATATCGGATGCCATGCGTACACCGACATAAGTCAATGGCAATTAAGATAACATGGGAAACTGTACATTTATTGGATAACCTAAGAACTGATTATTCAAGCACATTGTCGGTAGACGAACAAGATAAGGTGTTCGACGTTGCTCCGCCAAATGTAAGGAAATGCATCCTTTCAACGAACATTGCTGAGACATCGGTGACTATCGACGGAATACGTTTTGTAATAGATTCCGGAAAGGTACCATTTCAATGTCATCTCATGTTGTTTTGTACTACTCTTATAACTCTTATTTAGGTAAACTTGATTAAACATGAAACTGGTAGCGGAACTCAGAAGCTGAGTGAGTTCTGGGTATCAAAGGCTTCAGCCGATCAGCGCAAAGGTATTGATTTTCTAATAAAAAATAGAATCATTTCAGTCCCATAACTTTTAAAACTCTGACTTTTTTCCTATCCAACGGGGAACTCACACATTTTCATCATCAGTGATCTGATCACTTTTTCAAGAATAACTATTGTTGCGAAACTCTGCATTTTGAAAGCATTGTTTGAGTATTTTAGGCCGTGCTGGACGTACAGGACCGGGTATATGTTATCGTTTGTATTCTGAGGAGCAATATAATAAAATGGATGACTTCACAACATCAGAAATCAATCGCGTTTCCTTGCAAGAGATGGCTCTCCGGATGATAAGTCTAAATCTTGGACGTTCGTCATTTACATTCCTTGAAATATAAACATGAAATATAGTTCCAAATGTCTTTTAGTTCTATAGTGACCTATTGAGGGGAGTAATTAGGGCTGAATTAGGGCTGCTTTACATTAAATGTTTATATATGTTAACTGTAGAGTTAAGGTTCACTTTTCCTCATCGTGTACAGGAGAAGAGAACTTTAACGTCATCCGAATGAAAAAAAGCTCAAAATCCTCGAAAATACGAAAAGTTCTTGTAAAATTTTTCCTTTACAAAGAGCCAGATTAGCCCGAAAGCTCCGACTTTTTTAACCTAGTTACTTTTTTCCTTGCATCATTCCGGCAAAATCACTGATTCTGCATCTCTTACCTTTCAGTGGATCCGCGAACGTTTCCCTTCATTGAAAGGCCGGAGGAGGAGAAACTCAATGAAGCACTGAATATACTCAAGTTTCAGGTTCTTTGATTGTGACTTTTTATTTGTTTTTCAAGACTTGTTACTTGACGTGAGCGACCTATTCTCAGTGCACATGTTCAAGTGTTTTTGTAGGGCGTGCTATATCCGGACCGCGACAACCAGCTCACTGCTTTGGGAAGTACGATCGCCAA